AGAAGTTAGTTGTTGATCTCACTCTCCAGGAAGGGTATTTATGATAGCCTTTCCACGGAAGCTCAAATTGTTAGTTGGGAGCAGTCTTGTAGTTCTCTAGACCTTTCTTTGTGTTCAATTTTATCTTCAAACCAATATTGGCTCCCTCTTTTATGTTCTCTCTCTCTGTCTCTCTCTCTCTTTCCTATCTTCTATTCCTAACCAGGCTCAATCTTCCTGGACGCACATGTTTTCCTTTCCTCCCCCTCATTTTCTCCTACTTCTCTCTCCATTCGCTGTCCCCGCCCACTTCACCTGAGCTCTGGGGGACTTGTCCCTTCCAAGTTCTGTGAGGGACTTTATATGAATCTCTTAGAATACACCTTGTATCCTAGTTCGTCTGGTGATGTGAATTATAGCTGGTGATCCTTTGCTCTAGGTCTAAAATCCATATATTGAGTGAGTACATACCATGTTCCTCTTTTAGTGACTGGGTTACCTCATTCAGGATGGTTTATTCAAGTGCTATCCACTTGCCTGCGAATTTCAAGATACCATTATTTTTTTCTGCAGAGTAGTATTCCATTGTGTAGATGTGCCACATCTTCATTAACCATTCTTCAATTGAGGGGCATCTAGGTTGCTTCCAGGTTCTTGCTATTACAAATAGTGCTGCTATGAACATAGTTGAACAGATGTCTTTGTTGCATGGTTGTGAATCCTTTGGGTATATGCCTAAGAGGGGGATTGCCAGGTCCTGTGGTAAACTAATTCCTATTTTCCTGAGGAACCGCCATATTGATCTCCAAAATGGCTGTATGAGTTTGCACTCCCACCAGCAGTGGAGGAGTGTTCCCCTTTCTCCACATCCTCTCCAACATAAGTCATCACTAAAATTAGAAACACCAGTAAAATTGAGTTTCTTATAGACAACAGAAAGACAGACTTTGTTTATTAATCCATTCAGCTATCCATGGCTTTTGATTGAAGAGTTGAGGCCATTAATGATACTTAATTATTACTGAAAGATATGTAGCTGGGTGTGGAGGCACATACCTTTAATCCCAGCACTCTGGAGGCAGAAGCAAGTTATCTCTTTGAATTAGAGTCCAGCTGAGTCTACATTCTCAGTCCTGGCCAGCCAAGGCTATACAGTTAGACCCTGTCTCAAACAAAACAAAATACTAAGCCCCCACCCCAACAAAAACAAAACAATCCCCCCTCCAGTGAAAGGTATGTGTGGATTGTAATGATTTTATTGTTGTTGTGTGTGTTTGTGGTTTTAATCCTGCTTTGTATTTCATTAAGTAGAGCTCCTTTTGTTCTCTTTGTACAGTATCTTGGCTCAACTAATTCCTCTCTTTAGACTGAAGGATTGCTTCTAGTATTCTCTGTAGGGTTGTTTTGAGGGATGTGAATTTTTTAAAAAGCTTTTTACTATGGCAGATAATTTTGCAGGGTATAGTAGTTCATGTTGGCAGTGAAGGTCTTTTAGAATTTGGAGTTCATTGATCTAGGATCTTCTGGATTTCAAAGTTTACATTAAGAAATAAGCTGTTTTTTGTTTGTTTGTTTATTTTGTATTTTCCTGATGGGTTTCTCTGTACATGTGACTCGTGTGTTTTCTTTCCTCTCTTGTAGTTTCAATAATCTTTCTTTGTTCTGTATATTTACTATTGTAATTATGATGCGATGTGGGGCATTTCTTTTGTAGCCCTGTCTACTAGGTGTTCAGTGTACTTCTTGCATCTGTATGTTTCTTTCTGTATGTGAAAGTTTTCTTCTACGATCTTGTTGAATATCTGCTCTATGCTACTGATCTGAGGTTTTTCTTCACAATCTGTCCCTAAAAATTAAAGGATTTGGGTTTTTCCATGGTGTTACATAGTTTCTGTATATTCCTTTTCTGTGCTTTAAAGCTTTTTTTTTTTTTTTTTTTTTTTTTTTTTTTGTCTTTGCCTTTTTGGTCTAGTTCCCTTATTTTATCCTCAAGTCCTGATATGCTATCTTCTATTTGATCCATTCTGCTTGCAAGGATATCTCTCTTGAATTCTTTAGTTGGGTTCTTGAGGTTTTCAGTTCCATTTTCATTTTAGCTCAAGTTCTCTTTAATATTGATATTTCCTTATTGAATTTGGATTTTAAATCCTAAATTTTCTTTGTAATTTCCTTCAGGGATATTGTATTTTCTTGGACATCATTCGGGCATTTATTGTTGCCCCCTTAAAGTTCAATGGGGTGTCTTTAACTTGAATTCTTTGATAAAGTTAATGGTTATCCATTTAAATTTTGTGTCCTGAGGTTCATCTTGGTGATTGTCATTAGAAAACATTTCTATAAAACTAGTGGATTGCTGGGACAATACTGTCTTAGCCATTGCTATTATGTTTGCAGTGTGACTGGTGACTGTGAACCTCTTTTTTTGGTTGTGTATTTGAAGTAAGAATTCGTTCTGCCTTGGACTGGGTCCTAGATTGGGCCCATGCCTACAGTTGAGTGATGTGAGCTGGGCCAGGTAAAGCTGGTATTAGAACCTTGTTCTGCAGCTAGTCTAGTGGGTGTGGATATGGATGGGAGATAGGAGGAATAATTTATTAGGCAAAGATGTCTGTCAGTCAAAGGCCTGGAGGTAAGGCTAGAAGTGTGGGGATAGCAGAGGACAGAAGGAAGATAGGGAAAGGGAAGGTTAGCCAGCAAAGGAAGGCTGAGAACTGAACCTGAATCTGTAGAAGAGAAGGAAGGACTCTTATTAATCTCCCGAGTGAGCTCTCCAGCTTCAGTATCAACTGTGGACCAGACACAAACAGTCAAGGTCCAATTTCTAGCTCTTATCCCAAAGAGTTTAGTTTTAAATTAAGTGACTTCCTGGTAGGAGGAATGTGTAGCTATGAGGGGAGGTATACAAGGAACACTCACCATTGAGGGGAATGTCCCTAGACTCTGAGGGTAATTAGTATTACAGTAATGTATCAGGAGAGAACTGTCTTTTAAAAATCAAATATGAGTTAGAGTGTGTTGCTTCGATCATGACATTTTGTCACAGCTGTAGTAACCTAAGACAATACTATTTCCGAGGTATTGATACCAGTTAAATACAAATGAATAAATTTTAAATTAGGCTAATTGGGTGCTCTCAGTTGTACATGGTTAGTGTTCTTAAGTCTGCATAATCGTGTAGAGGTATTCTTATTTTCAGAATTCACAGGCAAGGACAGGTGGTTGTCATTTTTATGTCCTGTGCCCATCCTCACTCTTGCGCTTTCAAAAGGAAGGTCTTTGGTATAATGAGTCACTGCACTTGACAACTGATGTTAGCATTAAGGAAGGGTGTGGTCTTGTTGGAAGTTATACCATCCTACAGCTGCAGGTTTCTCCTAGTGGGTTATGCCTCAGTTCTCACCCTAGCCTGTGGGGTCCGTGGTAGGAGCGCTTGGAGTCACTGGGAGCGCTCCTGCGAGTGAGATGGGTGCTGGGTCTTCTCCACCAGGAGCTGCTTTATGGAGAAAAGTAAGGTAGGGCTGTCATTGGACTACTAAGAAAGAGGGGGGAAAGCCTAAATTAACATTCTCTCTCACTTTCTAGTGACGCTCGTCTGCCTCTTGCCTTCTGGACTTGGGATGGATCCTCAATGTGATCTTCCCCTTCCTAGAGTTGGGCATTGTAAAATCCACCCACTGTCACCTTTGCGCTCAGAGGGACGCTGGCTCGGCCCACAGCGCACCCCAGCGGGCGGTCTGGATTCCTCCTAGCCGGGGCCACTTGGCTTCCGGAGAGCTCGCCAGTCAGAGCCGGGGCAGATGCAGAAAGCCCTTCTCCGCGGGACCCCAAGGAGGGCACCCGCCACCTGGGAACCTCTGGGACCTAGAGGGGCGGGGCAGAGCGGGCTGGGAGGCTGGCCCGTGTCTCTGCTGCTTCGCAGGAGGACTGCGGGCCTGAAGCAAGGCAAAAGGGGAGGGTCTCGAGCACAGTCCCGCTCCTCCGAAACAGGGACCCGGCCGGGTGGAAATCCTGCACCCGGGAGCCACTGAGACGCGCGGCACGCACCATGGAACGAGCCGGCCCCAGCTCCGTGCGGCCGAAGCAGCAGCAGGACCAGGACCGGGTGGAAGCGTGGCTGGATGATCACCGGGACTTTACCTTCTCTTACTTTGTTAGAAAAGCCACCAGGTAAGAAGAGGAGCCGCAAAGGACGCGGCCAGGGACATGGAGTGTAACCTAGGGCTGATCTTTCTTCCCCATTGAATTGTCCCCTTGGTTCAACATTAAACAATCCCCGTTCCCAGGCCCTTCGCGTCTGAAGTAGCTTCTCCGTCCCAGAACGGACAGGAGTCCTCCACTTAAAGCGAGCACCCTTGAAAACCGAGGCGTCGGATTAGATACGATTTGTCCACGAAGTTAAAAACAAAAAACGTATACCCGGTCCGGGAGCAAGATTACTTTCACGCGCGCTCACGGGCCTTTCCCCCCACCCCCAACCCCCTCTACCCTCCCGAAGCCCCCCTAAACCGGTTTAGCAAAACCAAAACAAGCCAGAGCCCCCTTCCCAGCAGCTCCGGAAGCTCCGCTGTGGACGCGTCCCTGCGGCCGCGCTCCTCCCCTGCCCAGCTTGCTCTGACCCTGGCGGGGCGGGGAAGCCGGGGGTCGGGACCAGGCCGCCGGGAAGCCGGGGAGCAACAGCATGCCCGGGTCGCCCCAGGGAGGACTGTCGCCTCCGGCCCGCTGATCATCCCACCGCAGGCTGCGGCGCTGCAAGGAGGTTCTTGGAGGAGCTTTGCTGCGCGCACACAAAGGGCGCGGGAGGGAGGGGGCGGGCCCGGGGCCCGGGGCCCCGGGCACCCCAGAGGCCAGCTCTTCCTGGTCGCGAGCCAAGCGCCCGGAGGCCGCCGCGGAGGGCGGGGAGGAGGGAGCCTGTCTTCCAGGAGCGGACTGCAGCAGGGCCAGTCGGGGCGCGCGCAGACTTGAGAGTGGATCCGAGGGGCGAGAGGGTGGAACGGAGTGCGTGGCGGGCGGGTCCCCCGAAGCTCGCTCGAGGGGTCTCCTCGAAGCCCGCGCGCGCGCTGGCCTCCCGCGCGCCGACCTGGGCTGAACTAACAAGTTCGGCTTTGGAGAAGGGGCTGGAGCCCCGCCACCGGCGCCTTGGGGCAACGGCCGTCGAGCAGCTGGTGCTGGCCGCCCGAGCCGGGAGGGAGACTCTCGCCGGGCGGGGATGCTGGACGAGCTGGCGGGGACTCGCCTGTGCGTGGCCGCCACTCGGCCCGGCGCTGCCCGCCAGGGGGCGACGCCACGCGGGGTCCTCAGCCGGCGACCCGCCTCGAAGAGGCGGCGGGGGCCGTAGGGGAGCCGGCCGAGCATCCCCCGAACTCCTCCGGCCCTCAGAGTCTTCCGAGTCCACCTTCCGAGGAGTTTGGAAACGAGCGACCCACGTTTGCTATGTTGCCCTTTGGAGACAAAACGAGGTACTTCCTTCAGGATCCCGCTGGCCACTTTGCCCGGGGAGGGGTGCGGGAGTCTCCGGGGTTGGCGGTGGCACCCAGCGCACCTGCGGGAGATTAAGTCGCTTGGTAGATGGGCAGTGTGATTTTGTGTCTCTCCTTGCTTTCTTTCTCTCCGTGATAATGTTTGGGGGTCAGTTTTCTGTTTTCCCACCCAGTCATCTCTGGACAGTTTGAATGTTTTCCTTGGGAGTCTAGCCTTTAATGCCTGAGCCATCTTTCCCTGAGAGCCCAGAAAAGCTTTGAGTACCCAGCTCTCCTTTCATTTCCCCTCTCCCATTGTGCCCTCTTCCTCCAAACTCTGAGCTTAGAGCGGTCAGATAACTCTGAAGGGAGAGCGGTTTCTTTTTGAAACGGAACTGGGAATTTTGAGCAGAGACACCAAGACAGACCATCTCGAGCTAGAATTATCGATTGCTGTGAACCAACACTTTCCAAGGGGCACTGGCTACTCTGAGACCATCTGTCCCTGGTGTCCCTTCTCTGCACACTCTCACCCTCTGCTCCCTTTGAATTAGAGCACAGGAAATGGGAGGGGCTGGAGAACTGGGCTGAGTTTTAAAGAATGCTTTGGAGGTGTCCTTTAGATAGGTTGTTAATAGTTGAAAGAATAAAGCAGCTTGTCTAAAAATACAGCAAAAATGTTCCATTCTGTTTTTCCCCTCTCCGCTTTGGAGACAAACTTTGGACGTGTTGCTGGAGGTTTTTGACTAGTCCTAGCTGAGAACACTGTCAAAACCTTCCAAAAACCTTGAAAGTGTAGCAACATTGTGTTTGAAAGTATAAAGACTCATTCAGCAGTACATTTACTATTACCTTTTTCACTCAATTTGAATGTAATTAAAATCTCAACTACAATGCTAACTGTAAAGTTTAGATTTCCCAAGACTCCAAAAGACTTTTTCCAGTTAGGGCATTATTTGGTGTGTGTACTGTGTGTATGTGTTCTTAAGAGTAAAACTAGGAAAATGAAAGTGTAAAATATATTAAAGTAACTCAGGCCTTCATTATTAGCATGAAGAATAATACTCTAGGAATTTTTGTTTGACTTTTTTGCTGGTGATATTAGCTGAAGGATTTTAATATAAGATAGGAAGTTCAAAACAAGATTACTGTGTCTTCTTTTAAAATGCCAGATTAGTGTGGTTCACATTGTCAAAATAAAAATGTATTGCATTCATTTTAACTTTACAGCACAGTTCTTAAACAAGAAGCCTGCATCATTTTGATGTGCTTTGGAAGTATAAAATATATGTGTATCTGTAAAAAAATGTGTGTGATTCAGGTAATTCAGGAAGCAATAGTTTTACAGAGAGACATGTGGAACATTTAAAAGCTTCAAATGAATTTAGATTCATTTAAAATGCCCATCCTAGAGCAGAAATCAAGCTTATCTACAGAAATGTTTCTGCATTTATTAATTGTTGTCATTTGACACAAATGTATTATATGCTGTCCTATTCCCAGGCCCAATTGTCTGCATCTGCACTTAGTCCTGGAACATCATGGAACTTCTGGCATCCTGACTTTTCAAGCACCTGTTAATCTGGCTTGACCTTGATAGCAGTTAGGCTGTCAATTTTTTCCCCCTTAAAATTATCTTCAAAAACACATCTACATGATGAATTAATGTCTACATTCTCCAGCAAAGGAAAGAATGGGTGCTTTTAAGTGGTCACAACCAATTTCTATGAATTTGAGTGTGAAAGTTGAACAACTTGTAACACTGTTGGCATGAAGATTCACTTTGTTTTTCTAGTAAACTGCTGGTGGACACCTCCCACCCTCACTGACCTAAACAATTGGTAGTCTTCCAGGACTGAGTTAATTGGAGGTTTAATGTGCAGACATTTACAAAGAAAGCCTTGTGGTGCTAACTCTACTCAGCAGTTACTGTTATTCTTGATATGGTGTTTGAATAGTGTTACCTTTCAGTAGTTACTAGTCAGGTCCACCACTGTGGGTGATGTTTTAAGTCATTTAGTACTGAAGGGGTGAGATGGTTGAATGTTATTGCTTTGTTTGCCAGGCAAAAGCCGGAGGATATTTGGCATACAATGGAAACAGGAGATTTAAGCGAAGACAAGTTTTATGGCAGGTCGGATCAAAGTCCAGAAACAGAAGTTTTCATTTCACAGGTCCTTGCTGCCTCTTGTGACGTACTTGACACCACAAAGCTGGGCTGTCCTGCATTTGGGATTCTTGACTTCTTGCATTTACCCTTTTTGTTGCAGTAGTAGGAATTAATTATGGCCTTCCATATGCAAGGCAAGTGCTCTGCCAATTGAGCTGAATCCTAACCAGCACTCAAAATTGTTATTTTGAGATAAGGTCTCATTAAGTTGTCCAGTGGTTTTGAACTCAGTCTGTAGCCCAGGCTGAATCTTCCTCAGCTTCTCAAATACTTAAATAGCAGTTGTTATGGGCCATGAAGCCTGGTTTCCTTTTCATTTCTAAAAGATGTGACATTTTTATTTGTAAGGAACTATACATTAAACTTAGATGGGGAAATGTAAAATAAATATTGCTATCCATTCTTGAAACATGCTATTTCTGTAATTACATAGGAATAGACACTGTTCTGCGGTGTTAAACAAATATTTGCTAAGCATATTTCTTAGGCAGTGGTATTGAAAATAATAAATTCTTCAGAGCATTTGCCCAGCCAGAGTATGACTGTTTGTGTGTTTATTTATAGCAGTAATTCTCATACTGCCAGTTTTCTTGTGTGTCTTGTGCCCAATATGTAGGTACTGCCTTCTAGCTTCCTGGATGCATTCTGAGAGGGTTCAGTTCTTCCTGCCTAGAATACCCCACAGTCCTTGAAACAACAACTATTTCCTATTGCCTCCTTCTCTGTAATGTTTTCGTTTCAGAGTTCTAGACCCTTTTTAGATCCTAAGTTACATGATCAAGAATTTGTAAAAATGTGTAAATTTTATGCAATATTAGTCATAGATGGCTATCTTTAAATAAAGTGATTTCTGTGTTACAATGTAATCTCAAATAAGCTTGTAAAATTTATAGTTTTGTTTTTCCAGTTTGTGATCTGAAAAAAAAACTATAGAAACTGTCAATATTTTCATGAGATCATGTCCATAGTATTTCAAGATTAGGGAACATTGATGTTTTGCTTATTCTAGGCAACAAGGTATATTTTTTTTCATGGTGTTGGGGGTTGTATCTGCAACCTCCAGCACCACAGACTAGTTAGTGTCCTATCCGTGAACTACATAGATGATCCCTGTTTTCTTACATCGTTTCTTTTAAGGCCAACTTAAAAAAATAAAAATAAAACAACAACAAACTGCATACAGTTGTGCACTCACCCTTTATCAATGGCAGGCAGTGAGATTTACTAAGGTGCACCCCTTCCATTGTATTTGGAAACACGAATTACAGCCTTAAACACGAATTACAGCCTTGCTCACACGGCCTTGGATGTTTTAACAATGCCCCAGAATGATTTCCTTTGTAAACAGAACTGGATAGTATTTATTTGTTTCTAGCCCAAGCAGAATTTATTAAACCTTCAATTGTGGTTTTCAAGTTACATTTGTTTTTGTTGTTGTTTCAAGCTGAATGAAGGATTAAAAACCTTTTACTAGGATGAAAAATTCTTTACTAAGCTGTGAGACAATTAAATAAATCAGTGAGTTGATTGGTCATTCAGAGTTGATTCAGAGTTGGAAATGCCTAATTTCTGAATTTAGTGTGCAGATGAGCTGCGCCCTCCATTTCCTGTAACCGTAGTGTGGAGGCCCAGATATGGATGCAGGTGACTGGTGCTACAGCCCTCAGTGTGATGAGGAACAACTCTGATGTCAGCTTCTCAGGGATAAAACCGAAGAGTGTCTCTCCACATCACCTATTCCTATTCACTTGAGACTTAGCACTGTAATCTTACTTGCTGACTTGTAATTCTCATTTTGTTTTACATTGTATCATTATTATCATTTTTTTTTTTTTTTACAATGTAAGGACTTTATTCATTTTCAATGAATGGTAGGAATTTGCAATTATTTCCCATCAAATACTTAAGGTAGGCAAAACAAATTGAGTGTTAAACTTCTAAGAATCATGTTGACCAATAGATAAATACCCTAAAAATATTTCAAAGCCTTAAAAAAATGTATATTCATTTCTCTGGATTTGAGTTTGTAATGAACATACTTTTGGAAGTCTTTTTTTTTTCTCCTCTTTTTCTGAGACAGAGTTTCTCTGTGTAGCCCTGGCTGTCCTAGAACTTGCTCTGTAGCAGGCTGGCCTCGAACTCAGAGCTCAGAGATCTGTCCGCCTCTGTCTCCCTGCTACAACTAAAAGTATGCACTGCTACTGCTCAGCTTTTTTCCTTTCTCCTCCTTCTTTTCTTGTTTGAATTATTATGGGGCATTCTTATTGTCTTCTTTATTTGGAAGAGGGAAGACTTTTCTTTTTATAAATGACTTCTCTGAATAGAGAAATGTGTGTTTTGGGATGTGTGGGTGGGGGGTATGCTCAAATGTTCTAGGAAAATGACTGTCATTTGATATTTTAGTGATAATGATATGTCTAGATAGTGTCACCATCTGTATTCTCTGTTGCATTCCTATGTTAGAATGTAAGAAAATATCTTAATCCTTTGAACTAATAAAATAATTAAACCAGTACACACAGAGAGGGATAGGGGAGGAGGGAGAATGAATTTTATAATTGTGTAATCCAGTGTTTTAACTTTAAGTAATATACTGCTCACACAGGAGGCCTTGGGTTCCATCCCCAGCATAAATCAAACAAAAACTAAAACCCTACCCTTGTTAGATAAAGGCTTTCTTTCTGATGTCTGGTATGGTAGTTACAATGCTTTTGTTCACAAATGACAACAACCCTACCTAAACCCACATGGAATTGACTGTTAATTGGAACAGTGGAGATGGTGGTGGTGGTGGGGGGGGTTGGGATTTGATCAGTTGAGTTCATCTGAC